AATACCCCCTAAATATAAAACAGACATTGGCCTCAATATTCCAATTCAAGTAGGGAAAGGTAAAGAAAAAACTCACAAACACCCCACTGATAAGGTGGGAAGCGCAGCATAAGATGAATTCAAAACAAAATGAACCTGCAAAAAGAAACAACACAAAAGGAATAAGAAATTAAAAGTGTGGGTTTCCTCTTGTGAACCACTTTGTTTTATGTCGTTTTAGCTCGACGACTCATGAGTGCAAGCTCTCATGGTTGTTACTTAAAAAACAATTCCTCGACCTTACTCTCAATAGTCTTAGATGTCCATGCCCACTTATAAAGTCATTTCTCGTATCCACTACTCTTCATTTTCTTCTTCCTAAGGGGTGGTTCATACTTCTGAACCTGTGGGGGTGGTTATGGTTCTTTCCTAAGTATCATCTTATCAGGTTTGGCTTTAAGCCTTTCTTCCCACGCCTCAAAGGTCAACATTTCCCTTTTAACATCAAGAATTTCCCCAGTTTCATGGTCCTTCAATTTTCTCTTTTTACACAGGACCTCATTCTTTTCCAATATTTCCATAGGCCTTTTGGAATGGGCACATACCTTAGCCTCCACAAATCTTTGCGGGAGAGGAATTGGTGGCTTGAAGGGAGGAGGAGAAACATAAATTGTTTCCTTCTCTACCTCTTGGACAACCTCCTTTTCGGGAGGTGTCTGTGGATTTTCCTCGATATCTACCTTTTTATCACCATAACCATCATCAACCTCTTTATCATTCTCCCTAGAATTTTCAACTTATTGTTCACTTTTTGTTGTTACAACATTCACATGTCTCTCGGGGAAGGGTTCTAGAGGAATGTGTACAAGCTGGGAGATTTGGGTCTCCAATGCCTTGTTGTGAGTCGCGATGGACTCGACCACAGCTTTTATATGAGGGATTCACTAGTATAGAGATTTTTGTTTCTAAATTCTTTATTGTAGAGATTTTTTGTTGCCATAAAATTTTCCATCATAAGTTCCAGGTTAGAGAGAGCTTGTGTCTCAATAAAATTCTCCATTAACAATTCAAGGTTAAATTTTTAGAAATCATATGGTTCCTCGGTATATTGGGGGTAATTGCTGTAAGGAAATTTTGGATAATCCATCATCCCTGGATTATAGGTATAGGTGTATGAGCTTCCTAAGTCATTAATCATGTAACTTTTCATCTATTGAATAGATCCTCTGGTGAGAATCATTCTGAAAAAGAGGGGCTTTGTGTAAATAACAGAGAAAAAATGTTTTAGTCTAAATGGTCTTAAAATGAAATTTTGATATCAAAAACACCTCCCCAGCAATGGCCCCAAAAACTTGGTGTGTGTTAACCGCAAGTGCAAGCTTTTGTCAATTGGTAAAAAGATCGATCCCATAGGAAGATGTGTGATTACCAAAATTCCACCATAACTATGTTTATTTAAAGCTATCGAAAATGAGTTTGAGTGATTGCAGTTTAAAAGTAGGGATTTAACAAATAATATTAAAAACAAGGACATGGGATTGGGATTGCTATCTTAGATTCACCCTAATGAATTATCAATATTACGAGAATATTTTCTTTTAGTATTTTTGCAGAAAAGTGGATCAAAAATGTGTCACCCACTTCCGTGGCGCGCACAACCTAGATGTTAATTTATGCACAGCTAACATTTTTCTCAAGAGAAAGTGAGTCGCCTTGTCACGGCGGGCACATCGCTAATCTGTTATCTATCAACCCGCTTTCAAATGTCGAATCATTATTTTTTGATAATGATTGACATCTATGTTGCCTTTGCTTGTGAAACCAACATAGACGTGTGAAATGTCTTTAGGATTCTAAAATGAAAATAACTAATATTTTTTCTCGTAAATCAAACGGAGAACTCATTTGGGTTCTATCAAGAGCATAGCTCACAACCCCTAGTCCTTCAGGGACTACTCACAAATGGTGAGATTAACAATAACAATGGAAATTATAAACATTGCAAGAAATAAAATAACAAGTAAATAAAAGCAATGACAAAGATAAATAAAGAACAAGATAAAAATGCAAAAATTAAAAGAACAAAATAAGAACTTTACTAGAAACTCGAAGAAATAACAAAAGTTTGGAATGTTGTAGTGAAAGATGGTGTAAAGTGATGAAGCTCAAGCCCCTTTTTATACTAATCCTAGGCCTAAATCATCAATTAATATCACTAAATTCGAGCAAATCAATCATTAGTTTCTTAGCTATAAAGTTTTGGAGGTTACAAATACTAAAAAGTCACAAAAGAAGCCAAAAGATCAAAAGTTCGTAACTTTCTTAGTGTTAACACAGGTCGTATCAGGCAATACGGGTTAGTCATGTTAGCCTTTGGCTGCTTGTATGGAGGGGGCACCCAGGGAATAACATGGCCCATATCATAGAACACAACCGGGTTGTGTTGGCCTTGGGAAATTAGTACTGAAAGCACTCCTTTTTATGTGATCTTCTGCCTTTTTTCATTTAAATTCACTCTACTGACCTCTTATTACCTAAAAACAAACATAGGAGACAAAATGCATAAATATGAACTCGAATGATTAAAACACACATGAAATCAAAGGGAAAACAAGCAAGAAACATGATGCATTTACCCCTTATCAGTCGCCCTATTGTATCTCTCTTGTCTTGACCTTGGAAGTATATATTTTGGTAGCTTTATGTTTGACCGTGAATTCTCAAACATGGGCGACTTCTCTCAATTCATCGATAAGATATGTCGCACACTTCAATCCTTCCTGATTTGCTTCTTCATTAAACTAGGATTATCGCCACGAGGGCGTGTCAATCTCTACAGATAGCATAGCACGGCTCCGTAGACCATGGCAAATGAATTTTCTTTGGTGGTGAAATGTAGAGTGATGTGGTATGACCACAATATCTCATGGAGCAGTTATGCCCATAAACCCCTTGCATCATCAAGCTTCTTCTTGAGTCCCTTCAGAATTACTTTAATTGCTGATTTTGTTTGGCCGTTGGCCTGAGGGTGTACAACGGACACAAACTTTGTTTGTCCTCCCATATCTTAGCAGAAGTCAGTGACCATAGTACTGGAAAACTGGGTCCCATTGTCAGAGACAATAGCTTCAAGAAGTCCACATTTACACATAAGCTTCTGCCAATAGAAACGACAAAGTCTCTCGACCATGATTTTGGCAACAACTTTTGCTTCTTTACATTTAGTGAAATAATTGACTCCCAGTAATGAGAAATTCAATTGATCTGGAGGCAGGGGACGAGCCCAAGATGTCCACACTCCATTGGTAAGAAGGTCACATTTTTTGTGTGGTTGCGCCCTTCGATAGTCTTAAATATCATGTCGTCGACGTAGACCTTCATGTTCCTCCCTATTTGGTGGGCAAAGACAGACTCCATGAGTCATTGGTGTGTGGTGATAGTGTTATTGAGGCTGAAGGGCATGACATTGTAGTAGTAGTTGTCATGATTCAACATAAAGACTGTTCAGGGAGCATCTAGAAGATTCATTCGAATCTGACTATACCCCGAGTATGCATCCATGAAGTTTAACTTATGGTAGCATGATGATCTATAGATAAGGAAATAGATGTTTGGTAACAAATATGGGTCTTTGGGATAGGAAAATTCCATATCGGCGAAGTTTACACACATGTTCCTTCTGTTGTTAGCTTTCCTTACTAGAACCACGTTGGCATCCATGTGGGGTATTTTGTTTCTATGATGAATCTAACGTTGGATAGTTTCCTCACCTCTTCATCAATGGTGGTCCTCTTCTCTTCGTTAGCCTTTTGCTTCCTCTACGCCACTGTAAGAAAGAATGGTATGTGGTGAGACTCACCACTTTGACACAACCTCTCACCTCACATGAGCATGACCTCACATATTTTCAAGGGAACATAAGTCAATTAATAACTCTGACTTCTCTCTAACCAAAAAACGTCTTATCTCGCATTTCTCATTATTAGACGATAAAAAACCCTTGAAACGAGACGATACCTTTTCTGAAACAACCTACCGTCATCGTCAAGACGGGTCCTTTTACAAATATAACACTATTATAACTATTATAATTGTGTAAACTAAAACTATTATTATAATTAATTATGTGATTCAAAAAATAAATAGCGGTGGAATTTTTGTTAGTTCCCTTCCATTTCTTTATAATCTTTATTATTCATATATAAAAAAATAAAACTGTTCTCCCCTCAAAATTTAAACCAATAATGTTCGAACACATTGGTATCTATCTTTTACTATAAAAAAAATAACACATTTGTGTCTCTTAGAAGCTACGTAATCCTCAATTCAACCATCCCAAAAGCACCAAAACTATCCTCCTGGTCCTACCTTAACCGGTATGCAATGCATCATCACAAACTTACTCTTACTTTATAATTATTAATTTATTATTAGTAACACTTTTTATTCCGTTACGACAACCTGAATTTAACTAAAACTCCCACATTCCTTCTTCGTCAAGGTGTAACAATCCTTTTTATTTTACACGCATGTCATAGACTAGAATGACGCTTTAACTTCAAGAATAATGGGACCAACTTCATTACTCCATTTTGTCATGATTTTACATATAGTATTTATAGAAAATTGGAAAAAGTGTCCTTGTACCCAATAGCCATCATCAATTATATAAGCTATAAAAAATAATGTATAATCTAAGCAATAATATATGAGAAAAAGACCCCTCATCTTCAAGACAAAACTTCAAGATCTGTCATATACTGTACTACATTGTGAAACCATATGGTTGTTATGTGTCCAAAAACTAAGTTAAAAACAAAGTCCAAACAACTTCACCTTATACAAAGTCGTTATTTTCTTCTTGTTGGCCTATCTATTCATCAAAAACACCAACCAAGAACAAACTCATCTATGACAGAAAAAGAAACACCAGCACCTCAATATTTCTATACATATTTGAGTCTTGTGTTCTATAGTTTGAACTAAGAAGCAACTTGATTCTAGATTTGTTACTGATCAATATGGAAGTCTCATGCAAGATTTTGAGAAGATCCGTTTATGGTTTTCTTCAAAACTATCACTATTTTACTTCATTAATAGCTTTTCTTGTTTTTCCTTTCTCCGCTTCGATACTCTTGTCACAAGCTTTCGTTCCTTCTCCTTCGTCTCTTTTGCCTCAAATTTATAACCGTTTAAGGATTCTCTTTGATGCTGCGGGTTTTCCTTCGTCTTCTTTATTGTTCAATATTCTTAATCTTAAGGTTTCTCAAACAATTACTTGTTCAATCTTTTCTCTTCCTTTTACACTCACTTTTCTTCTTGTTGCAAAAGCGTTGATAATTCAAGCGCTTAAACACAATCACAATAAATCAGCTTCGTCTCCTTCGCTCACGTCGATCGTAGCAGTTTACAAGCCGATTTTCCTTACATATATCTGCAACTGTTTCTTGATTCTCTCAGCAAATGCATCTTCTTTTTGTCTCATGTTTTTGGCTTTTAGTTTCGTTGAAACGCTTGGATACTCGACGCCTGGTTTCCTTCTCTTCATGTCAGCAACCGGAGCAGTTCTCTTTTCCGTGATTCTTGCCAATGCACTTGTGATTTGCAACATGTCACTTGCTCTATCTGGTATGGAAGGACATGGAGGATACTCCGCGATTCTTAAAGCTTGTATCTTGATGAAGGGAAAGACATCAATGGCTTTGTTCTTAGCACTTCCTGTTAATGTTGCCTTGGCTGCTATTGAGGCCTTGTTTCACTTCAGGGTTGTTAGGGAATATAATATTGTTGGAGAGGCAAAACCTTTTGTGGTTTTAGAAGGGATTTTCATTGCGTACTTGTACTCAATCTTCATCATTCTTGACACTACTGTGAGCTGCTTGTTTTACAAAAGATTGAAGACAGAATCATGGATTATTCAAGATGAGGACAACTATGGTTATATTGGCGACAAGAATTTCGAAGATCTACCGTAATTAGTAACATGAAGTAGCATTTTATTAGTTTGGCCAAGGCTTTTTCTTCATGAAAAAAGAAGCTGTACCAGTGGTTTTAAACAGATATATAGCAGGTATTTACCAAATTTATTCATTTTGGTCGAAGAAATCGAACAACTTTGAAGGCATAAAAAGTTTCGGTTGAACATCCTCAGCTTAGTTATGGGCAAAGACAAGAAGCTAGAGGAATTCATATTCTGCAGTGTTATATATAAATGTTTCTGATATTCTTAAAATTTGTATTTTGATTTCATAAGTTCCACTTTGTAGATTGGCAAGAATTTACAGTGTGAATAAGATACATGATTCAATGTTAATTTTCTTATTGTGTATTAGTTGTTATTGTGTATCAGGTATTATGGTTTACTAGTGTGTTTCTAACTATATAAAAAACCGACGATGAATTTGCGGTTCCGGTGCAGAATATAGTTAATTGCAGAAAATAGCATTAGATTCAAAATACAAAAAATAATTCCTGGTTAATTTATGAGGAAGTTAAAGACTTGGGAATTATTTGTGTACATGATAATGTTACGAAAACATTTTACACAAAAAAAATGAGACTTGCATTGCAATTCTAATAAGACCTTATCTAGTTCTCTTCAGTTATATATTACAGTTAAAAATAATACATTGACCTGATTTCTATTTTCTCTCAACCTAGAAGCTATACAACAATTTTCTGGATGGTATCTACCAAAATTTCCATAAAAAAGAAATCTAATTTCTATGTTAGATGATAAAGAATTTGATCCTAAAGGAAAGGGTTAGTGCTTTGTACAAGGGTTTTATCGTACTGCAGCCGCAGGGCTTTGCAAATCCAGAAAGTTTCTGCTCTGGTGCTGGACAAAATAAGGCAAACTAACAATACAAGCCAATGCCAGTTCTTCAGCAACAAAAAGCATGTTCTGCCACAAAATTTCTTCATAGCAGTCATTGGAGGATACAGATGGCATATTTGAGCAATCACGGTAAGCATCCGTTCCGAGAAAAAAAGCGCTTAAGTTCCATGATAAGCATCCACCATGGCATGTCTTTGCTTGGGAAAGATCCAGAAATCCAAAGACCCATTTGGAATAAACTCAAAACTAGTCTTCTGACAAAAAGGATCAATTGGACATACAATTCTCATTCAACAGCATGCCATCAAAGAATTAACTCCTAAGCTTGTTGTATGTTCAAAGGTCCTCATCTGGCATGAATTTTCTAGTCCATCTTCGACAGATAAGATTGAAAGGCTCACTTTCACATCATCGATGTGGGAAGAGAAGCTTCGAAAGTCGTAAGTCATAACTGCCCTCAGAAGCATTCACCTTGCATGGTTGGATTCCCGCTTTTCGGTAAGAGCGGGTTGTCGGTGCAAAGGAGCAGAAAACCGAGTCATCAACTATCTTTTCCACTCTTTTTTGTTAAGTTAACGCCCTTAGCCTTCTCCATTTCAGCCTCTTTCTCAGCTTTCTTTTTCTCTAATTCTGCTTGTTTGCAATTCTCTTCATGTGCTTTTCGGAACAACCTTATAAAATTTAATAGAGTTGCAGTAACTGCAATGATTAAACCAGCAACAGAAATAAGTTAGCTTTAGCATTATAGAAATAAACAAGAGAACATACAAACATCCTCTACATCAAGCCTAATTTAATAGAGTTGCAGTAACTGCAATGATTAAACCAGCAACCTAGAGAAGAAAACCATCTTCTACATCAAGCCTAATTTCTAGAATATAAAATACACATATCCCAACCGTAAATGCAACAGATGATGAAAATGTACTTTCCAGTTTCCATACAAACATCAGATGAATACTACACCATGAAGAGGTATTAATGATCAATTTACCTTGCTCGCATGGGCATCGAGCAGGCTCCTCGCCAAAATACAGTGCAAGTGCATCTGCATTTTTACCCTGTCCACACATAGTCAAATTACTCGATCATTTTATTTTTATCTTGGTGTTTAATTTACCAAAAGGATGGTTAAGAATTTTACCACCGTAGAATATAATTTTGTTAGATCTGCCACGTCCGATTCAGCTACAGTAATGAATCCTTTCAATGTCTGAACAGAACATTAAAAAAAAATGTAAACTAGATAATAAACCAGATAAAGTAGAATTAGATTAGTCCATGTAATATTGATATGTTGCTGATATAATGAGGAATCAAGAGCCTGAATTAAAATAAAAAAGATAAACACCTTACGGAAAACTTCGGACACAGGTCCATCATTTTCTGATCCAGCAAGCTCTTGTTTAACCTTTTCTAATCCTTTGGTGATTGCCTGCATCTCTTCAGCTAATGATTTCAATTGTATCTGAAAGAATTCATGTTTCAATTCAATTCATATTGTAACATCATTACCTCATACTCAAAAGTTATAAAGTCCTATCTATCCCAAAAAGTATTTTCTTTTGGCTAAAATGCAAATAGCCATTTCAACTTTGACCAATAGGTAAATCATGGGTACATTCAACATCAGCAAGATAACTCCTTGGATCCATAGTCTTTGCCGGAACTTGATCCGGCAGGCTCCTTGGTGAAATCTATCTTGAGTTTGTGATTATAGGCAATTTGCATTGTCAATTAAGGTTTCTGAATTTGAATACTTTATGATAAAAAGAAATATTGTGAACTTATACTTTTAAGTAGAATCCAAATTTGAAACCAAGGAATGTGCTTAGTGGCTTCTAAAACTTAGTTATATCTTTACTCGTTAAAACAGGAAGGAACGTGCTTAGTGTTCAATTTAACAAGCAAGGGAAAAAGTGAAACTGGACCAACAAACTAGGGTAGTAAACTGCAGTTGATCTTTTTTGGGGGGAATGGAGGGCCATGTCGAACCAAACTAAATCATCACCTTAGTTGCGCCTTCCAGACTAACAAGGTCTTTGTGAAAATCAAGGAGTCCAGGCGATCTTTCAGCTAGCACCTAGAAAAAGAAAGAAAAAAAAGGTTAGCAACCAAATGATATCTTTGTTTATTGCAATTGATACTCATACCTTGCAGAGATAATGCATTAGTGTCATCTTATTGTTAGAAGCACGAGTGTCGGTGAGCTTTGAAAGACTATCCAACTTAAACCCAACTGCAGATCCTGCAAAAATAAAACATTTCATATTAAAATAAATTTGGCATAATATATTAGATAAGATCTAATAAAATAGATTTGGATCCTCTAATGTTTGAATCAAACATGGTTATGTTCAACATCTCCGCATTAAAATTCATTAGGTTAAACAACTTCAATAATTTATAAGTGGGTCCAATAAATTTGAAAGGTGAGATGATGAACATGACCCTCTCGTGTTCGATTCAAACATAAGAGGATCCAAATCCTAATAGAATGTCATGTTTGATTCAAATATAAGAGGATCCAAATCCTAATAGAATCACATAAAAGTTTGTCTTTCAACAAATAGGAACAGCCGGTGATTATCTGAATGTTAAAAGTAGAGCTAGCACCATCAAGCCTACCTTCATCTACCATGTCCAGAAATGAATAATGATCAAAAATTGCCGCAACGAAAAAGACTTACCCCTTGCCGTTCCCTGATTCAATGTATTACCCAAAAAAAGAATTTTCTTCATGATATCCTTCAGTTTAGTAGATTTTCGGACCTATAACCAAGAAAAAAAATGCACAAGGTCAAAAAAAATCAAATAGCATAATGTTTGCAGTTGCTTAAGCAAAGTACCTCTTCACATGCAGAGTTTACCGTGTTTAAACTCTTCCTAAATTCCGTAACCTGCATAAAGTGAAAAGTATAATAATTGAAGAAATATATCAAACCCACAAAACAAAGAAAAATATTACAAACACCCGCAAACCTGAGCCTGAAACTGAATTTTGAAAGCGAAAACTCTTAACTTTGACTCCACTCTTGGCACCTTCATCAGCTCCAGAAAAAACTGAAACAACAAAATAAATATAATATGATTAGAAACACATATAAAATAGGAACTTAAATCAACAAAGACCAAAAGAATTGGCTTATAATCAAACGTCTAAAGGGAAAAATGGGGATTAAAAGCTAAAGCAATTATCTTTCACAAGCAACCAAACACTGTCAACTTATATGTGGATAAGTTTTAATTTCATACACATTACAGTTTTGGTAGCTGGCTACATTATTCTGTCATCATTCGTCCACCTCCTTCCATATTTTTTCAAAATCAATTACGAAGATGAACGAACAAATCAAATGTGTGACTTAACACTTTATTACTAATACTAATAACAATCAGTAAAAGATGACCCACAAAAGATATCTCATATAATGTCTTGCTTAACACTTTCTATTAATAACAATTAACACTTTCTGTTAATAACAATCACACATAATGCAATGACTAAAATAAAGAATTGCACACCTGTTCACACTTTCCCAAATTCTCCTTGTTGCCGGTGTATGCCTAAACATCATAAACAGAGGAGGAATCAAAATTATCGAAGCAAACAATTCAGAGTAGGAGGATGCATTTTTGTGTAAAAGCAGATGCATCAAACTAGAAACATAATTGTCAAAACGAGATAAAAGAAGTATGTGTATGGATAAAGTTATTAAACTTCACCTTCAAAAGTTCCATTTCCTCTTTGGTAGGACAAAACTTAATGAGATTTTCCACCTGATCAACATCTAATACTGACTCATCCAGAGCTAGTACTGCAGCCTGAGAGTTTTCATTTCAACATGTTAGAAAAAATGATATTTGACACTGAAAATTACAGGTGGAAATTTCATAGGTTAGAAATTTGTAGTAGATATGATGTGAAAAAAATAATGTTACTGTCAATACCTCCTATCAGCTGCCTATAGTATTAACATATAACAATCCAATTACAAAACACCCTCAATGCAAACAAAAATAGTTATTTTCAGTACAACGCTTCTTACAAAGGAATATTTATTTTCAATATAAAATGCTTCGATTTAAATCACTCATCTAGCATAATTAAAAAGTAGATGAAATCAAAGTATCGGC